TTGTTCCTCTGTTACTGATCTACTGCCGGTGTGGAGCTCCCCCAAAAATTCCAGACTGCTTCCCTGAGATGATTCATTTTGACAATAAGTCCCACCTCATAAGCTACTGAGGACCAGGAAGACAACACTGTAAATGGACTGTACTTGTAGCACATTTCTATCCAACCTGGACACTCAAAACACTTCACACTACAATCTGTGCCTGCATTTACTCATCCACACTCACAATCAGCCCTCTACTAGATCTCTCTACAAAGCTAATACAGATAAATTGTTCTATAGAGACTAATCAGTGCTTTGAATCACGTTCATACACTGATGGGACACACGTCAGAGGCAGAGGAGCGTCAGTGTCTTGCCCATTCATGTAAAGTAAAGGTGCTCTATTTGTCATCAATGCATGCTCTCATGCAAGGATGAAATTTATGTTCTGCATTTGACCCATCACATGAGAAACACCCAAGTGGAGCAGCAGCTATGTGAACACCCAGTGAGCAGTTGGGGTTTGGGTGTCTTGCTCAAGGACACCACAACATGTGGGCATGGCGGAGAGTTGAACCTGTGACTTTCTGGTCTCAAGTCGGCTGCTCTACCAACAAACCACAGCCGCCCCCGTATATTTACTGAATAGTAGGGAATCAAACCATCAACTCTCTGATTAGAGGACGATTCCCTTAACCATTCAGCCACAGCCACTCATGGTGACATAAATACCGATTTTAAGTCTTCACTCTTAGATAATTCTTTAGAAAATATGTGTGAGCTTTTTTTTTCTAAAAATATTCTTTTTGCTGCTGTTATGACTTCACTGTATCACAAGGCTTTTACACACCTTCAGAGTTATGTTAATGTTGGTTGTCAAAAAGCAACTAAATGGGCAAAAAGAAAATATTTGAAGACAAACCTTGAGTTTTTTGTGAACAGGTAAATAAAACATGATAATTAAGCTGGAATCAAAGAAAACACAAGCAGTTTATGTTCTAATTTATCTACAAGCATCATCTGCTTCAACACCTACATGGGCCTTACACGTCTGGCAGCAATTACAGATGTTTCACTGTTTTTGGTTGTATTATTTTAAAACATACGGGAAACGTTTTCAGGTCAACAAAACGTTCACTGTTTCAGTTAAGTGCTTACAAATCGGCCTTAAACATTTATAAATTATCAAAACCAAGTTTTTTGGGTGAAATAAAAGTTCTTCCAACCTGAATCTTTTTTTTTTTTTTTTTTGGATGGCCTCCCTTCTCCCCTTATAGCCATCCTCTCCACACCATTATGATTTTTTTTGTGAAAAGAAAATAGAGAGAGAGAAAAACAGAGAGAGAGAAGTAATTAGAAAGATAGAAAGACTGAAACAGCGATTAGAAGTATATTGAATATACACCAACAAAACACAGGACCACACACCCAACATCTGTCCGCTCACCTGAAAAATAAATGGATACATGGAGGGCATATAAAAAATATACACATACCCATACATACTGTATATAAAGATATACATACATACATGCCTACATTCATAAATATTGTCAGTATATACACACAGACATATATACACACTCAGTGACCTGTCAGAACCCCCCGGATCAGAGCACCTGTTTGTGAGCAGTTGTGAACATGCTTGTATATACAAGATTTCTCCAATGGAATATTTAATAGTGACTGTGGAGGACCGAGACCCAACCCCCAAGACATGAGGCAGACATAGGGAAGACCAGAGCCCAAGGGCCCGAGAGGGATCCCGAGCGCAGAGCCCCAAGGGGCACCCGCACGGGAAGATCTGCCCACCCGCCCCCCAGATCAGACCATAGGGGAGAACTGGGAGAGTCCCCCCAGCGACCACACGCACAGCCCCCGGGGCCAGCAGCGACAAACTCATGGGCTGCATCGGCACCCGCTATACCAGAGCAGATCCAGGAAAGGGCACAGAGGTCCGGGCCCCCAGGGCGCACCCCCTCCAGGCCAAAGCCCGACAGGCCCAGAGGCCCCGAGCCCCAACAGGCAGTCACCAGGCCAGGCGGGCACACACCCCAGCGCCCAGCCCCAGACCCTGGGAACCCCCAGCACGCCGGCAGCCAGCCGCACACCCCACCGGGGGGCCGAGTAGCAGCGGGCCCCCAGATAAACCAGCAGTAGGGGCAGTCCAGACCGCAGCCTGACAAATACCCAAACATACACAATCGCACCATCCCACCCTCATCCTCACCCCCACTCAGTCAAAGACATACAAGGACGCCACATTCCACTCATACCCCAAAGCAAAACGTTCACTGTTTCACTTAAGTGCTTACAAATCTGCCTTAAACATTTATAAATTGTCAAAACCTTTAAGTTTTTTGGGTGAAATAAAAGTTCTTCCGACATGAATCTAAAAATTTACTGTATGTTACACAAAATGTACTTTAAAACATTCATACTTGTGATCTCTTTGACTCACTGATGAAGATGATGACTGTCTATTTTGTCGACGATGTCTTAGTTCTCTAAAATTCAGCTTTCGGCTGCTTTAACGCAGAGTTAAGCTTTAGCTAAGGTTATAATTTTGGTTTTAGGAATGCTTCACTTAAACTACTATAGTTTTGTTTGTTTTTTAATACAGAATATCTGATTTCAAAAGTACTATTTTTTCTGTAAGACCTGACAGTTTGAATCGGCACATATTTCCTTGTGTTCTCATTTACGTACCAACAAAACTTACAAGACATTTTTTAATCACTCTTTTGTTAATAAGTTTGTGATTGTTGTTAAATGTCTCAGTTACTGGATACAACAGAGCTCTTTGTGCGTTTGAATTGCATGTCCTTGGAAGTCTTTAAGTTTACTCATATAGTACAAAAAATCCTTTGAATGCTGTTTTTATCACTGTTCTAATCACAAAAATGGGTAATAAAATAAAATAGTGATTCTCAAATTATTGTAGCAAGTCATTTTGTTGTCTTTGGCAGTTTTTTATGTCGACACTCAATGTAGTTTTGTCAAAGGAAATAATTTGTTGACTGCATTGAATGTCTGCAGATGGTGAGAAAATGTACGTTTTACACATCATAATAAAAATTAATGTATGAAATGGTGAAAGTGTTCTTTATTTGATAATCTCACTAATGTTTTTGTAGATATACAGTGTTAAACAAGTTCACACTTCAAAGGAATTAACTCAAAGTTTGATTCACTGAGATTAAAACAATTATCCTGTGTTCATTGTTTACCAAGTAAACATTCTCAACTGAATTTACTATTCTAAAATTAACTACTTTGAACATTATTTTTCAATTGTTGGTAGAAAATAACATCAGTTTCCATGTTTATTGCTTCATCATTTAAGTCCTAGTTCATTTTATTGTTAATGACCATAAATATTTTTATTAAAAACACTTCATGTAACCTCAGTTTTACACATTTTATGCTAATATTTGAAGTTGTTGTTAAAATATCTCATTAACCACAGGACGGATTTTAATGAAGCTTTCCTAAAGTTATGGTTTTGTATAAATATTTAGTTTTTTAAGTCACTTCAATTAAAGATGGTTGACAGCCATGTTACATAAATAAACACAAAACTAGCTATAGCTCCGTCACTTTTACTTTTAACTATGAGCTAAAGGCCCTGCCACACTAAACTTGTGAAACATTTTTTACGTCTAAATTGCTAATAAAAGTGATATGTTTGATCAATTTGTTAGAGTTACATTATGTACATGCTAAAAAGAAGCTTCCTGTTGGTTTTTCAATTCCATCTTCAACGGAGATGTCTTTAAAATGTTTATAAGTTGGCATAAGTTGTTTAGTGCAGTGGTTCCCAAACTTTTTATCTTATGACCCACAAAATATCCATGGCAAAAACTTGTGACCCCAAATATTACTGGTCTGAGTACATAAACTTTGTTAATAACCCTAAAAACAAAGGCTGCACAAATATAAATACTTATTTATACTGATTTTGTGTTTTTGTAATACATATAGGGGAAATATTACATCACCAATTATTTTATTACCCTTTAAAATTGATTTCTGA